TTCCACACCTAACCAGGAAAACAACTTTTGCAAACACAGAAAGGCATCGTTTTCCTCTTCCAATTATGACTGGAAATAAATACACAGAAAGAAAACCTCAGTGAACAATTTCTTTGTTGCAATGCAAAAACAGATATTTTGTTCCAGCTCAGATGTACTGAGTCCAGTCAGAACTTCTGAGCTCTTCTGACTTGAATGAAGCATGCTGAGCTTGTGAGCCTATCAGATAATTTGGAAGTTGGCTCCCTAACAATCTAAAAACCCATTTATGGGGGGATGACATACTCTTACTAAGCAAAAAGTGCAAATCCTCAAAAGTCCATTTTCAATAGTAGCTTAATCCTTTCTTAGGTTTCTAGAGAATTCAGGTAAGAACACAGTAGTCTCAGGTTTTGTTTTCAGTTTTGTTTTTTTCAGTTTCACCTTCAGCCTCAGGAAACAGAAACTCAGCCTCTGCCAAGTACAGCCCTTGATTCAATGCTATGAAGTTTACACTTACCCAGTCTGTTGTACTAAATTTAAATTAACAGAAACTGCTCAGAACAATACACAAGCAAACTATTCATTAGACACAAGCTTTGGTCTTCTATGTGATATTTCACCATGTCTACAGAGCTTTTCCTGAAATTCTTCACCTTTTCCTTAGCTGTTTTTTCAGAAGACTGGCTATTTTCAGCACTAACAGAAGGTTTACATAACTACTAGTTCAGTTGCCATGTTAAAGTTGCACCTAAACTAAGCCATCTTCATATGAGTGCTTTTAAAAGCTATGATCTACAGGAAAAAAAAATACAAACCCAAGTTTAAAACAACTCTTGCAACACTAAACAACATTATAAAATCTTAATATATACTGCTGACAAAAGAATTTTAAAAAAATTCATGGCTGCCTTTGCTTTAGAACAGGCCTAGTTCTCCAAATATTAGTTTGGGATAAAGGATTTTATAGATCTACATCTTTTGAAGATACCACTTTGAGGTGGAATGAAGAACAAAACTGAAAAGCATTCATTTAATGACAATCTACTTTCTTCTAACTATAATTTAACAAAGTAAAATACAGTTTTCAAGCCTCACAAAAACTCTTCAACCCTTATTTCTTAGAAGGACGTCATTTACACACCTCTTCAGAAACAAGGATTTATTCCTATGGCTTATTTTAAATCAGCAAAGTTCAAGTCAGGGACAGCATCACCCACCAATAAACAAGCTATTCAGACACAGGGACATAAGATGAAGTATCTGAAATGACAGAATAGTCCACTTACATCAAATAAGAAACCAAGTGTCTGTTAATGGCTTCCTGTATTTTGTTATCCCACACTGGCTCTGCATAAACCATCTGTGCTACACACACTTCAAGCCATCTTTCAGCTATCAACAGGGCTTCTGCACTAAAACAAACAATTGCTAATAGATGTATCTTAGAGACAGATTTTAAATCAAAAGGCACGGTGCTCCAGCGTTCTGTTATTAAGAAAAGATCAGAACAAAACAGCAGAGAATTAGCACAACTGTTAGTAACAGAACACAGAGATGAAAGACGGGGCTATCGCACTCCCTCAGACGAGATGACACAAGAAGAGTCTGGATTGCAAAAGTTCTTCCAAGGGATCATTCTAAAAGAATCTTGTGACTTTTTCTTTTCCAACCAGAATCATGCAAACCAAAGGAAAGAACACAAAACACTATTGTCATTTGCACTAACAAAAAAGCATAATAAGGAAACAAGCTACTAATGAAACATAATCTGGTCTGCTGGGGAGCATTAGGAGTTGCACAACTTCTCACAGGACTTGGCACACCCATCCTTCAGCTATTGAAACAGGTAACAAGCATCCCACTTGCCAGGAAATAAACCTCTTCAGTCTTACTTATAAGAGGAGTTGCACCAATTGAGAGCCACAGCCTGCTGGATTCACAAGGCCTCCTAGACAATTTCTCATAGGTAACTTCTGTTCAGAGAAAGACTGGAATGTCAATAAATGTGAGCTCCTCAGCCAAAAAATAAACCACTTCTTAGTGTGAATTATTTACATGAAGAGTATTTAATAAGACAGTCTGTAAATTAGTGTATACCCCATGGTGAACCTGCAGTTATTGCCATTCAGGCTAAGGGAATGCAACAGATGCAAGGAACCAGGAAGCAATCCACAATGCAGGAATCAGAGTAAGGGACATAAGGAAACCCTCTCTCCATTTAAAGCAAGCTTCCCACTAGAGTACCTGCTGCTGAGGTATCTCCGGCCTCCTCTCCAGCATCCCTGCTCTCAGCTAAAGCAGGAATCAGAAATGACAGCCAGTTCTCTGATTCCCACTACTGCTTGGTCATACTACAATGAAACCCAGTCTTCAAAGTGGAAAATAACAGCAAACAGGACATTACAGAATTTGGATTATTACTGCATGCTGAAAGACAGTGCCTGTGGAAGCACTGTGCATGTGTCCTAGGCATCCCAAAAGAATGAATCCGACACCCAAGTGACGGCAGGGCTTGTCCTGCTGAGTGCCACGGCTCCCCAGAGCCGTGAAACGGGGCTGGGGCTGCGGGGTCTGCGGTTCGCTCGGCCACACGGCAGGACCCGGAGGCAAACGCAGCCCATTCACGTGTAACTTCATCACCGCCACGGAAACGCGGCAGCCGGAGCCCATCGCTGCTCCACAGGCTGCAACACCCCGCGGAAAGCAGGACTGCAGTGACCCACAGGACGCGAGCAGCGCGAACCCCGCACGGCCGCCCCCGCGGAGCCCCGGCGGTCCCTCAGGGGTGCTGCCGGCTGCCCCCGGGAGCCCCGCGGACAGAGAGGGGGCGAAGGAGCCCAACGAGCAGCGGCAGCGCCGCACGCCACCGAGGGGCTCCGGGGCGCTGCAAGCCGCGCCGCGGGGTCGCGGCCCCGCTGCCTCCCGCACCGCTTCCCCTCGCCCCCAGCGCACCCCGCAGTGCCTCCCGC